TTTAGTTTTAGTACTAAAATCCAAAAAGCATCAGTTTAATCTTTTCCTCTTCTAGATCTACAGCCCCTGGTGGGCTTTAGATTTCTCTAAAATAGAGTACCACTTAAGTCTTTCCTTATACTTCTTTTTCCAGTTTAGTTTAACAAGTCTTTGAAAGTTTGTAATTTAAGAAAACTCTTAATTAATAAAGAAACAACATTTTAACTGAATTTCAAAATTTTTCTCTTTCCTCACATTTTCATTCTGGCTGACTTGTGTACTTTTTCACACAACGGAACGTCTTTCATAATTATTAAAAAAATAAACATATTTAGATCGCTCTATAACTATAATAACATAAAATTTTTGATGGAGAGAAATAACACAAAATTTTAAATTGAGAGAAATAACACAAAATTTTAATTGGGTATACTATAGCCTACGCCACAGGTTGTGTTATTCCTACTAAATTTAACCCATGAACGGCATTTTCTGCGAGCCTAACTTCAAGCCACAAATAAACAAACGAAGTGTTTGATCGTTTAAATAGCTGCTCGCCAGATTTTATTGCATTATAAAGAAAAGTCATTGATATTCGATTTTTGATTAATAATTGATTTATGTGGATAGTGGCATTTATTCCTACTAAGTGGAAGTAGTTGTGTTTTTTTTATATTATACCCAATTGGAGAAAAATAACACAAAATTTTAATTGGAGAAAAATAACACAAAATTTTAATTGGAGAGAAATAACACACTAATTAAAATACAAAAAGAATGCAGCAGCAGCAGAAAAAAAGGAGGAGGTAACGTTTACTGTTCTCTTTTACTCTTGGAAAGCACATTAATTTCACTTCATATTATAATCTAATATAGAAAGTTTAATCTTTTCACTCATGTTAACTACATCTGTATTTTTGTCTTGGGAAGTCAAATAACAGAGCATTAATACATGTATGTGAAAAAACACATTCCCCCTCCCAAAATTCCCCCTGTTAAATCTGAAAAATATTGGGTGACAAATTCTTAAAGTAATCTTTATGTTAATTTTTAATGTAAGTGAAATGTCGTCAAGAAATATGAAAAATCATCTTATATTTTAAAAATAAATTAAAACCTTCAAAATGACTATGAAATATCTACGAAAAATCTGAAGATATTTTAAAGAAAAAGCGAAATCTTCAAAATTTCTGAAGATTTCCGAAGAAAATGACTTTTTCTGAAAAGCAATTCAGAAGTTATTTTTAGTGTGGTTGATTTAGTAGTTTCTTTGTTTTCTGAAGTTACTGAGCTGAATATCGTTCAAACATCTTTTTCGCTTTGTTCCTCTTGTTCTGGTACGCATTTTTTTAAAAATATTTATTTACGTTGTCAGAAAAGTTTTAATAAATCATTTTTTCTGAACTTTAAATTAAAAGCTTAAATTGTATGACTTAAAAAAGGAAGAAAATGAAAACCATCGTTCTACCAGAAAAACGACCTTAAACCTTTGACGCGGATGGAACACCGGTGTCCCTTTATGTAAATAAAAATTTTCTCTGACGCTCTAATTACAAGTAGGTATTTTCTAATTATAAAAAGCAGTCTAATAGTTACTAAAAATATGTTAGATTATCGGAATTGCATTTGTACTAAAATATAAAATCCAAAAAAAATTTTGAAATTTTTTTCATTCATATTCAAAAATTTATCAATAATTGATTTATTAAATTAAAGAAATCTTAACGATGAATAACTGTTTCTCTTAGATCTAAATAAGTGCAAATTTGAAAAAATATTGTTTAGAAGTGAGCCGTATTGGGAAGATTTTACCTCGAATGCCGAAAATGACGCTAATTTTTCATGCTGTACTATAAATTGTTAAAATGCTAAATATAATATTTTCCATTTATTTTGATCTAGATTAATACAAATAATGAGAAAAGTATGAAAAATATATTTAATAAAAATTTTGTGTCAAAGGGTTACAGGTGGTGGATAGAGAAAGCAACATCTCCTTTACTACTCTGAAAATAAGAAACTGCAATTTTTAAATGTAAGAACTTGCAGCATCTTTACACGTAAGCGGCTTAGCAACCTCCACTTTCTCTTCAAATCAGGTTTTGGCAACTATGTCAGAATAGAAATATGCGTGAGGGTGGCTAGTCAGTATTCTTTGTAAGACTAACTGACAATAGGGGACAGTACAACGTAATTTCCCCCCTCAAGGAGTTGGAAGAAGTGAATATCTTACATAGTTTCAATATCGTGATTGCTCTTTAGCCCAATTGTGCCAACGAAAACTGCTTAGTTCTTAACCTTGTTCTCTGTTGATTTGCAATTTCTTACAATACAATTCATAGTAGAAAAAGATAAGGACTGATGAAGGTGTGTTAATTTACTAAGAATTTATTTTTTGTTGTTCACTTTTTTATTCAGAGAGCCCTATAAGAAAAGGGATATTCAGAAGGCCGAAAAGATCAATAATTCTTATCTCTATTGTTTTCGTTTTACCGGAGTTGCAAATTTAAGTAAAATCGGGATTTTTAATTTATTTTCTTTTTACTGTAAAAATGTATAAAGAAGCATTCATTTAAAAATATAGAAATATTTTAGCTGCAAAAATTAAAGTTTGGAAGAAAATTGCTCACAATTTTCTCTGGAAAAAAAGCAGCAAGAAAATTTCACTCGTTTCTTTTAGAAAGAAAGCAAGAAAATTTTACTCGTGCAGATAACAAAGAAAATGTTCAAAAAACTGAGAGATTTATTTCAAAAGCAAGATTCTATGAAACATGTGTTCTTCATAGAATGCGTGAGTCAGGTTAAAGTCAGCTCATCACAGATTTATTGCTTTATTTTTTTGGAATTCTCAAAACTATCTAAACATGGTTACTGCGAAGCAGCCTCTTTGAAAAATAAATGAATAAGATTTTTCTTTTTTTTCTTTCAACTTAGGCTTCCACTTATATCTCGAATTTAATGGACTTTACTGATTTAGGAAAAATTAACAAGTATATGTTCTTATAATGGCACCAGTGAATAATATATTTTATTGCTATTAAATTATTTAATTAATCATGTAATGTAAATAATAATAACATAATAGACACTAGTAAAGGATTTATTTAATATCTGATGGCATGTATAATCTCAAAGAAAAAAGTTCGAATTAAACAAAATATTTTTGCTTACTTACACTGTTTTATAGCGGCACTTGACAATGTTCTCAAAAAGAAAATGCGACTAAATAAAGTGTTAAAAACAATATATTTAAATTCCTATTATTATTAATGATGAAATTTTGGCTTTATTTCTTGCACAATTATTTCAAATTCACGATATGCACATCTTTTTTTAGGATTTATTTCGCATTTTTAAGGTTAAATAAAAAGATTCAATTGTGCTATCAAAATAATTAAACCTGATATTAGAATATTTTTAAAAACGTATAATAATGTAAATTAAAATAATGATAAAAAAAGTAATTGCTCCAAAATATGTTGTGAACTTAGCGACATTTAAATCAGAAATTATCACCACTAGTTCGAAAATTAATCACATAATATATTTCTTGTAAAAAGTTAGCTGATTTTATAGAATATGCATTTTTATGTATCAATATGAAAAAAATATCAATAAAAATATAATTTTCTGAAATAAGGAAAAAATAATTAAAAATAAATCGATTATAACCAATAGTAGTTTCCTGTTTAAATGCTTAGGCTATTTTGCATGAATGCACCACCTTTTTTTTCTATCTTTTCATGTCCCATCTAAGCTGTTTTAAAATCATGCTGCCTTTTATGTAATGTATACTTAATACTCAAAAACAGAATTATTCATGTGTCTAAATTTGGAATCGATTATAACATATGTATATCGATTATGTATAACAAACATAAATAATAAGCTGAAATAACAAATTTTAAAATTTTTGGAATAAATAATTTTTTATAATTTTTTTTTGTCTATTTAAATAAGTTGATATTGATAAGCAGAAAAAATTGCTTTGAATCTACATATTTAGGAGTCAATTGAGTGCTTTAAAATTAAAAAAACTTCAGCGCGTGGAGTTAATCGATTAGTCAACGGAAACTTTCATTTAATACTAACACAAATTTAACTCACGTTAAACTTGTCTTTTAAAGCTCAACGACGATGAGCAAATTAGATCTAAAATAAAACACACAATCTTAAAGGTTTATGGAGTTTAAAATTATTCACTATTGCATCGAATATTTTAATTATTGATTATTATATTTACTAAAATCCACTTGAATATAGCAACACTCGATTGAAAATGCTTTTCCCAATAAATTATTCTATTGAAATTTTAGTTATATTCATAAATAGATCAACAAAAACATTGCAATTTTAAATAAATTACGGAAAATATTAATGAGCCATGCAGCGAAGGAGCGTGTTATGTAAAATGATTCACAAGCTTTATAAAGGCTATTTTTATTAAAAATAATGCTAGATTATTCAATAATTGATATATATTGCAATTACAAAATTTTATAACTCTATATGGTAAGTTAAATATTTAGTTATTCCCAATTATCTATCATGATTTACAAAAATACTTACATGTGATATATTTATTACAATAATTTAATATAAAATACACAAAAATCGAATTATTTTCATTGCATATATTTAATTCAGATTTTATTGAACTAAAAAAATTAATGATTTTAAAAATTCAGTTTTAACGATTTTCATTGTTGATTAATCTTTCTAAACAAACGTCATGAACTTGAAAAATTAGACAAACACGTGTTTAGTTTTATTTGTGTGCATTTAAAATTAGGGAAATATTTGTATTTATTCAAAAATCAAACATAGGAATAATTTCAATATAATTTTAAAGTATAATATCTTATATAGCAAGGAACAAATTTAATTTTATTAGATGTCATCGGAGAGCACGCTTAAGAAACAGTAAATATTGATTGAAGTGTGCAATAAATTATTGATTATATTTAAAATAAAAGTGTTAATTAGAACTGATTAAACTAATTTTGAAAACAGAAACTCACCTCTGAGATTTTTTTCCGAGTCATAACGATCGATGAATTAAGCCAAGTAGAGAGCACGTTAAAGTTACTTCCGAATTTAGGAGGAACAAGGCAAAAAGTGACAAATGATTGGGAAGTGAAGGGGGAAAAGCCGGCTTTGGCGACTGTCTCTGAGATATAATCGCGCCAAATAAAGCCAAAGACCAGGAGAGCTTCTTTTTACGTGAATCTGGGCGAAATATTTCAATATTTTTTCATCGAAATATAACATTTAAAAAAAATTATGGAATCAAAAACAGTCCATAACATGAATTTTAAATAGAAATTCAAAACAGTTGTAAAATAAAATACTAAGATCAATTTTTGTAATACCCGGTAAACTATGTTTCCTCCGAGTAAATGAAGATCGAATAAAACTATGGAATTAATGTAAAATCTCGTATCATAGAGGTGTACTATACATTTAAGTTGTATCATAGAGATGTACTATACATTTAAGTTGTTTTAAACTATGTGAGGCTTTAAATAAGTTGTTTCAAATGTATGAGAGGCTTTAATTTTTTTTTAAAAATCTGCTTTTCTTTCATTGCAAAATCTGATTATATTAGAGATATAGAATTTAAGTAATAATTTTAAGATTTAAAAAAAATATACAAAATAAAACATAAAAATAAAATAAAAAGGAACTACGTGGAAGTTGATGGGTGCTCGGCCGTGTGGTAGTGGCGATTTTTTCCGTGGAGGAATGCCAAAAGTTTAAATATGCGACTTTTTTTTAAATACTTTATAACTCAGGAACTGATTGACCGATTTCGTTGAGATTTGTATTTTACCTTATAATGTAACATTCTTCAAAATGATGTAAAAATATGTATACCGCACAGTTCGAAATTTTTTTTGGCCTTTATTAAATAAAAATAATAAGTAAATTTAAAAATGATTTTTTGCAGAAAAAGTAATTTTTAATAATTATTTGAGGATAAACCCATCCAGTTCAAACTCATCCAAAGAAAGGTACGTTTATTCAGAAAACAAAATACATTTTTGTATCTGATTTCGTAACTTAAAATATCATCTTATTTAATTAATTACCATATTTTAGATTAGGCCTTTGAATTATAAAGAAAGACCGAACGAGAAAATCACATCATTATATGAACAGTTTGTAATGTGTTGCTTTTTTTCCCCTCTTCTCACATTGTTCATTGATTGTGTAAAGTCTGTCCAACGTCGGTGATTAAAAAAAAAAAAATAATAAGGTGCAAAAAAAGCTTGTTCTAACTGATTATAGTTTTGAAATAGTTTGCTTAGTTTATTATAGTTTAGAAAACCATTTAAATATTCATTATTTGCTTCAAAATATTGCACTGCATTGAAAGCTTTCATTGTAATTATTAAGGATAAATGGCAACGACACGGAATATTCACATTAGAATTTAAAGCCGTGTCAACACAGTACAGTGGACAAGCTGCGCTCAAGCGTTTATGTTTAAAAAGTTTTCTTCCAGAAACACACCAAAGAAGAATTTAAATTTTTTTTTTTAACCAAATTTTCTCAAAATAGTGTTTTTCAAGCTCCTATTTTATCTCATAGCATGTTATTTAATTTTCATTTGTAATTTCACAGCTGTGCACTGAAAATTTCCTCAGAGATATAACGAGTAGTCAACCATTCTCAAAAAGTAAATAAATAAAAATAATTAAAAAAATAAAATAAGAATGCTACATGCTTGATGATTGGTCGGCCTCAGATCCTCGAACCATTAACCGAGTCGCAGACTAAATAACATCGGATAATGTTAGATATAATTACATAAATTATTATATTGTTTAATTTAAATTTTCTGATAGAGTTAACAATATTAGAAATTATGTAAAATTGACAACATGTGTATAATCCGTGTACATCCCTTAAAATAATAGCTTTATTTTTAAGTACTCTTTCAGTTAAATCGGATCGACTCTGAATCATCATATCGGTACCTTAAATTATACCTTAAATAACATCGGATAATGTTAGATATAATTATATAAATTATTATATTGTTTAATTTAAATTTTCTGATAGAGTTAACAATATCAGAAGTTATGTAAAATTGACAACATACTTATAATCCGTGTACATCCCTTAAAATAATAGCTTTATTTTTAAGTACTCTCTCAGTTAAATCGGATCGACTCTGAATCATCATATCGGTACCTTAAATTATAATAAGGTTCAAATTTGTTGTAATCTTAATAAGGCGATAAATTGAACCATGTTTCAGTTTAAGTTGGGCCAAACCATCAATCAGTCAAACTTAAGAAGTATGATGCTGTTCAACTTAATACCATATTAAGGCTGCTGCAGATTTGAACCATATTATGCTTCAAAGCGTTATAAAATGCGTAGACCAGTTTGTAAAACTTGTTAAATTTTAAATAAATAAAATCAGATAAGGGTTTAGATTGCATATCGCTCAATTTATCACATTAAGCATATTCAAAATTTGAAAATAAGAAAAAGTTATACTTTGAATAATGTTATATTTCCTAAAAGAAACATTTTGTTTGACTTCAAAACTTTTGTTGTTAAAAACTTAAATATAAACTTACATAAATGATAATTAAAGTAAAGTTTTCAGAATTGTACATTTTTTACCAATAAAATTTGGAAAATGTTAAATTCAGCTTAAATTATAGTCTGAAAATCACTAATTTCAATACAGGTGCAAAATTTTGTGGGATAAATTATGGTCTAATATGAGGACAGTGCTTGGACCTAATATTAATTTTCATAGTTTTGTTTTGATAGTTGGTTTTGATCACTTTTTAACTAAAAATAGATAGACGAAAGAAATACTAGACAATATGGAAAAAATATAAATGGGAAAGTTTAGATGTTTGTCTCATATCATAATTGATATAAAAAAATAAAATCCGTTAAAAACAGGCACCAAAATAAGAAGCTTGCGTGAACTTTTCTAACTCGTGTGTCCATTGTTCAAAGTTTCTCAAAAAATAAAAAATTAATTTAAAAAAAAATTCCAACGAAACAGTTTACAAAAATCTTTAATCATGAGAAGGATGCAAGTTGTCTTGTAGAAAAAAAATTCAAACTATACGTTTAATTTTTAATGAGATAGAAAATACACGCACAGTAAAATCCCAGAAATTCAGAGTTATAAATGAGTTAGTTGTTCGAAAAAAAAACACACACACAAACTACATCAAACAACAAAAATGTAAAAAAAAGTGCGTAATTACAAACTAGAAGACTCAAATGAATAGTTAACTTACTTGCTATTTATTATTATTGCAATAATTTATTAAAAAATAACTTTAAAAAAATTATAATTGTTTGCGTGTTACCACAGTCATGTTGCGAAGCTAATTTTCGAGATTTAATTTCTTTTTATTATACTAAAAATTTTTATTTCATCTTTCAATGTAGGAATGTAGGGAACTCATCACTCATGTTTTGATCATTTATTTACTAAAGTTCTTACTCAGATATCAGCTCTTCTAGCGTCTTCTAGAACATGAAGAAAAAAAAAATGAAAAAGTAAATAAAAAAATGAGAAAAAATCGCTTAACTAATTCTGTTCAGGCTAGCGCACACAATTTTTCGTGCAAGAGATGACAGTTTTCCCGAACTACTGAAACTGAAAGCAGACCTATGACGTGTCAAGAATTACCGAATTACCGTTTATTATGCATGTTAGAACAAGAATCCTATGATTCCTGCAGACCACCCATGAAAGAAGCACCCCTTTTTTTTTGTGGAAGGCGAAATCGAACAGTTCAAATTATGACTCACTTTTGTATGAATGTTTAAAAATTTCAATCAAACAAGATTCCTGCAATTCCTGCAGACCACCTATGAAAGATGCAGCTTATCTGTAGTAGGCGCAACTGCACTGTCTACTCTATCACTGACTATTGAATGAAGGCTTAAAAGTTAACAATGACTTGAATGCGATGACCGATGGGCGAATATATGTTTACGAAGGATCAGTTAAAATTATTGCAGAAAGGAGATGAAAAATTGAAAGAAAAAGAAAAAAAAAAAAAAAAAGACTAAGATACACCCTGATACGAAATTCATGCAAGCAACGAGTGACGGTTGTTCAGATATCAGTGTTCAGAGGTATCCAGTAATGTGAATCCCATGGAAGATGCTTTAAATTTCTCCAAAAATTTTGTGTAATTGCATTGAATAATTTGAAAATTATAGCAAAATAGCGTAACACAAAAAAATTGATGCTTCATAAAAATGTCTGTATCTCCAAAAATATTTAAGCTAAGTTTACGAAATTTTGTGCTGCTATTGCAAATAACAATCAAAGTGATTGATACAAGTTACAAGCTTATTGCTTGATTAGCTGGCATAAGGTGATTAGAAATACATGATTTTCTTCGTAATTTATCGTAGGTCCCTCAAATCTCTGAAAGCTTTAAACTTTATTGCTAAACGAGAAAATTCACATAAGCTAAACACCTCTTAAGTTACAAAATAATCCCCTTAGTATTTATTGAGAAATTTTAAAAAAAAGTCAAAAACTTAAACTGTCTTTTCCATTATGTAGGGGTAGAGTACATGTATATTAGAGGGACCGGAAAGTAATGTCGTTTCTGCTCATCAAATATTCGTTAGTAGTCCTAAAACACGATTCATTTTTTTCGATCTATTTCGATTCTTCATTGAAGGGTCGAGGGTGAATATATTATTGATTAAAAATAAAATCTTGAAAACAAATATCAAATGCACCGAAACGATATTACTTTCCGGTCCCCCTAATATATATATACGCGCAAATCTCAAATATATACGAATTTCAGAAGTCTAAGAAATAGAGTAAGAAAAATAATAATAAAAATTGCTACACTGCTTTTAATTATCAGGCAATAAATAAAATAAAAATGCTTCTTTTCTTTGGTTGATGGCTTTTCTTGTGAGTATGTCGCCTATTTCTAAAAATAATTTCTTCTGTTGTTTCAGGATAGGGTTACTTCTTTATTCAAAAGGATATTTCGCTTGTGACCGCAGTTTTTTTAGTTTCAAGGTCATTATAGGACTCAAAATTAGAATCTATAGGGGATCCGGTGAAACCATAGAAATCCCTCAGTCTTTTATAATTCTTCCGTGACATCTGTTCTCAGTAA